ATTTGCGTTTATTGGAATAAAATCCAACATTCTTACTGAACATAAAATGTAAAAAATTAAATCATTTACTTTTCAAGTTTTTGGAATTATTAAATTTTAAAGCCACTGTTTAAGGCCCACTAATCATCGTTTAATTAAATATCGGTTTTCATACATGACTTTTAGTTTAGTGTCACCTCTAGTCAATGCCGAGTACCTACTTTTCACCTTGCCCAAGTAATGGTATATTTTAATTTGACCTACTTTGTTTACAATTAATTACCATAAAGTATGTTTATTTAACGTTAGTTTCCTGTTTACATTTGTCCTTAAGTTTTAAACCCATTGCTGCCAACTTGCAATATTCCCTCGTCGAGTTCCCTTAAATAATAATCTTTAGAAAATGAACCGAGACGCTTTTCCCCTGGGGCGACATCGAAAGATTGTTTGAACAAAGTCTCCGACCGATAAAATAGAATACTTGAAGTTAATAAGAAAACAAATAGGTTTTCACATGCTATGTTTATTTTGTCGTATAGCTTAATTGACGCATTACCTCCACTTATGATTGCTTATTTATTTACAAAGATTTCTACTTATTATAGTTTGGGTTACTGTACATAAATTATTTTAATCCTTTGGCAGATGATACATTTTTTCAACTTGTCGTTTATAAAACACATAGGTATGGTAAACAAATTTTCTAAGTTCTGCTGGAAAAGAGGAATCTAGAATAACTGAGTGGAAACTAGTTACTATAGGGAAATTTCGTATATTTTTTGGTTGGGTTTTACATATGGGAACAATTAAAATTATCAGAATTAATGACTACTGGAAGAAACACAAATTTTTCAATCTTACTTGCTTTAGTAACTATGTGGAAAGAAATCGTTTCCTGTTAATCTTACGTTGCCTACATTTTGTAAAAAATCCAGGTGTTGGCGATATATTCAATCAAGATCGATTATATGTATAAATTGAGACCGATTATCGATTACTTCAACTAAAAAATGTCTCAAATATATTACCCTTTTAAAAATTTATGCATTGATGAATCAATGGTTTTATGGAGATGCCGACTGCAGTTCAAGCAGTATATAAAGAGCAAACGGCATAAGTACGGGGTGAAACTATGTTCTGGCTAAACCTAACGGACTTACTGTAAAAAAAGCTGTGTATAATGGAGCAAAAGTTCAATATAGTAAAAGGAAGAATATCTCAAACGTTGTTTTTTAACTAATGGAGACATTCCTGGATAAAGGCCATTCTTTATTCATGGACAAATAACAAAAAATATTTTTTTTTCTGACGGATATTCCCAAGTTAAAGTTAATTTCATGTAATAGAATGAATTATCTTCCCAGTATAAGTAAAGTCGTCCCAGGAGGGCAACTCAACAATATTGGCAATATCATTTTAAAGTCGTCTACTTTAAAATGCATAATGTATGTCTGAATTGTCAATATAAATAGGTCAGATAAAATTAAATTATTAAAATAATTTTTCACTAAGTAACAAAAAAACAAAATTTGTTTAATTTACTGTTTGTAATTTGAGAAGGATTTCCGAAATGGAAATTGAAACGTCAATAAACTTATTTTAGCATTTAATTGTGGCTTATTCCTAGTTAAATAGTTTTTAATTTAAAATGCCCCAAGAAAATAGCTTAGAACAATATTTAGATCAATATTATTTAATAAAAATGGTTAATAAAACATAAAAAACTACTTAACTAGTTCGTATCTATTACACAACATAAAATGAAAGCAATAATAATAAGGATTGTTTTTCTTTACAAATTTATATATATATATATATATATATATATATATATTATATATATATATATATATATATATATATAATATATAACAAGCGAGTCTTCTACAGCTGGCGCCGCTTCTCGCATCCTAATTTCCAGCGTTTTCTGTCGAAGCAATCGTCAGTTGTTAGATCTCTGGCGGTCATTGCATCGTCGACAACGTCTCTCCAGGATCGTCTTGGTCTACCTCGTTTTCTTCTAGTTGGCGGAGTCCATTCTTCTATTTTTTTGGCCATCTATTTTCCGGCATTCTCTGAAGGTGTCCATACCAGTTAAGTCTTTTGGCTTCGATTGTGTCTTATGTCTAGATCGATTTCCATTTCTCTCCGAATATCTTCGTTTCTCACCCTATCAAGTCTAGTGAGCTGGCAACATCGTCTCCAGTAGTTTATTTCCATGGCCTTAATTTCTGATTTGTTTCTTTGGTTTATTTCCCAGAGTTCGGCGCCATACAGTCCAGTACTTTCGATTATTGTTTTATAAATTCTTCTTTTATTTTCTTTTGTTATTTTTTTTATTCCATAATAGTCCGTGTAGCTGTCTGGTGGCAGATCTTGCTTGGCCAATCCTGGAATGTATTTCTTCGCTACTTCCTGCTTTTGATGTTATTTGGACTCCCAAGTACTTAAAATTGTCTGTTGGTTTTATAGTTCCCATTTCGATTTGTAGGCTTTCTGGTTTTTCTCCTACAACTAAGTACTCAGTTTTTTGTATATTAATTGTGAGGCTCCATTTGGTGTACTCATCTTCCAGTTTTCTAAGCATGTAGCTTATATCACTCTCGTCTTCAGCTAGAATGGCTTGGTCGTCAGCGAAATGTATCGTGTACAATCTATCATCTCCGATTGGGATGCCCATATGCAGCACTTTCTTCTCCACAGTGAGAGTGCCTCATTTAGATATATTTTGAAGAGTGTAGGTGCTATGCAGCAGCCTTGCTTTAGGCCCTTACTAATAGGAATTTCTCTAGTTAATATATTTCCAGTTTTAATGTTTGCCGTCATATTTTTGTAGAGCTGTTGTACTGCTTGTATATTTTTTGTTGCTTATTCCTTGTTTTTCCATTGCTACCCAAAGCATTGAAAGTGGTACACTATCGTATGCCTTTGTCAGATCTATAAAGACTATATGAGTTAAAAGGTTGTGGGCTAACCTTTTCTCGATAACTTGCTTTAGATAGAATATACTGTCCATGCAGGATCTGCCTGTACGAAAGCCATTCTGTTCTTCTACATCTGTCATCTCTTTTTCAATTTAATTTTTTATTATTTTTCCATATAGTCTTGAGAGTAAATTTATGACACTTAGCCCCCTATAGTTTAAACAATTCTTTCTATCTCCTTTTTTGTATATGCTGTTAATATGTGCTTTTGTCCACTCCGGTGGTAAGTCGTGTCCATTATAGAATAAGGTGAAGACATACGCCAGTAATTCCCGTAATACTTGTGGGCTATGTTTTAATAATTCATTTTTATAAAAACTTAAATTTTTATAAAAACTTAAATAGTATTCACGAACACATCGCTTTTCTTCTATTAAAGACAACGGTTCATTTTTCTTAGCTTCAGTGATTCCCACTTTTTTGTAAAAGCTTTCTTTAACGCAATATTATTGATATTAATTTCAAGCCTAGAACGCACAATTTCCACTTGATCATATTCTGCTTGATTAAAAGATGATTTATAATAGATACTAGTAGGATTTTTGCGATCTAACATCAAGATCCTCACATCAGATATTTTAAAATTTTTGGGAATAGTAAGGTGTAGGTCTGCACACAAAGCTTTAAGATCAAACACGTCATTAAACCCATTTTATGTACTTTATATGAAGTTCCACTTTTTTTAACTGTCCGAATAATGCACCCATATTGGTCAGGTACGTATATTGGACTTGATTTTTTATATTTTTTTATCTGCTTTTCTTTCATAGCGTGGAAACTATCCCCTTTACTCTGTCCATGTTCTGGGACAAAAAATTTATGAGTTATTGATTTTATGGGCAAATTATTTATAGCATACAAGAACAGGGCAATTATAAATATGTTTTTATTTTACCCTGCACAATTATCAGAATAGAAGATTATATTTAAGTTTTCGTCATTATAAATATTTTGAAGAAACTTTAGAATGCAAGATCCTATTTCATGTGACCCCCTCAAAGCTTCACCCTTGTGCCATAAAAAGCAAGTACCTTCGTGAGACTTAATATCATACAGTGTAAACTTAAAAACATTCAGTTTTGAAACATAATAAAATGATGATGCTTCTCTAGTTGGGCAAGGCAAAACTGCTTGAAGATCATACATTACGACTTTAGTTACACCGTCACATTTTTGTCAATATCTTTTTCTGTTCTGGATAAGTTAAATATTTATCGAACTTTTCTTGTGAAGATGCCTTCTCTTTCTCTGTCGAAGACCTGTATCGCAAGCACTCTTCACATTCTACTTATAATCTACATCTACTTATAACTATATATCAAAAATAAATGTATAAAAATAATATTACCTTTGAGAAAAATGGGTCCAAATACAAATATCACCCTTTTAATAATATTAACTTATGTTTTGTCAATTATATTTCAAGATATAACTGTTTTCTCTAAAACGAATAACATTCAGTAAAAAAAAAAGTAAGTACATACTGAAATATAACTGTATTTTTCATAGTCAACTCGTTAAATTCGGGGAATCACAAAGAGTTGCATCTGCCATCTCTCGAAAACTAGCGTACTTACATATGTAACCATTTTTTTTATAGTAAAAGACATTATTTGAAAGCTATTGATGCAATACAGAAAAACTTTAACATTTTGAGATGTAACTCTTTTTTCAAATGGACGAATATGTTGACAAAATAATTATTATCAAGTACCTACGTAACGTAGGGAGTTCGTAGTCGCCCCAAATTTTACACCAGCAGTGGAACGTGTTAATGAAATCATGAATAACTAAAAGATGATCCGATGATAAATACATCGGTTCTTAAAAAACTTAAATAATATAAACGTTGATTAGTACAGGAATGCACAGAATAGAAGAATGTGGTGGTAAAACTAGAATAAAATAATTTAACTCGTTCAAGATGTATTATTAGATAGAATTATTTAATTTTATTGTAGTTTGTATTACAGGATTTATGATTGTAAATTTTAAATTATGGTTGAGTAAATAAATTATAACTTTGTTTTATTTTAGATATAATTAAAGGATTAAAACGACAAGGGCAGGAAGTACCATTAAGGCCACCTATAGACGATCTAGGATCTGCTGATTATATCGTTAAATGTATAAAGGCTTGTTGGCACGAGGAACCAGAACAACGACCCGATATTAGATATGTTAGAGTTCGATTAAAAGAAATGCAGGTAAGTAAATTCTTTTTGTTAATTACTATTTCTTTTATACAGTATGATGCAAATGTATGGAATAAATTTATTATTTCAGAAACAGACGACTTTACAAAAAAATCTTAAAACACGTCAATTTTAATTTTTGAATGACCATCATCTGATATATATATATATATACAGTCAAAATCGTTTATAAACGAACTTCAGGGGACTGGTGCTTTTTGTATGTTGTAGCCAGTGTTCTCTGTAAGCAGTTCTATCGGTTATAATGAACAGGTTGCTATAAACGATATTACACTAATAGGGACAGTTAGTTTGTTGTACCTAGGGTTATGACGCAAAAATGTGTTACTTTAACTATACTTATAATATGTTATAATAACATATACATAACATTTAACATATGTGTTTATTGTACTCAAGCAAATCTAAATATATACATACATATATGTATAATATGTATTGAAATAAGTATAAGTAGTGAATAAAGTATACACATAATATAACGGCTTCTCCAAATCTTCGTATTATAACAATGTAGGCATACATATACTATTTATTTTAAAAAGACAAAAAAAAATACATACATATATGTATTACAAAATATGTAAACACATTTTACCTGAATATTTAATGAAAAAAGTCTGTAATTTTTGTTTGTCGCCTTCCTTGAACTTCTGAAAAAAACATTTTTTCAATTGATGTGGAAACAATCGATAATGATTGTTAGGGAGGAGATACAACAGTAGGGATTTTGCCGAAATCTTCCAATTCTTCATCAGCCTCATCAGTACTTTGTTTGTCACTAGTTTGGTGACTCAGTACGATGTCAATATCTGAGAGTTCTTCGCTCGTACTTATTTCGTCATCCATTCGTACATAGTCATCTGCAGAGCAGTCAGAACTGAAAAGGGAAATGGCATCCTGCAAATGCGTTTGTGCAATATCGTTATATGCGATTCCTGATGGTTGTAAGTCTTTAGTTAGGCCGGAAAAACGAAAACAGTTGATGATCGTTTCCTTCCGCACAGATTCCCATGCCTTTGATATCATTAGTACAGCGTCAAGAATACTGACTTTCGTATCGTCGTTATTCTCTCTCTTTTCGATGATTTTGTACACCAATTCTTTCCGAAAGCATGCTTTAAGACTTCTTATAACTCCTTGGTCCATGGGCTGCAGTACAGACATACAATTTGGAGGCAGAAAAACGAGTTTAATTTGTTTTAACCTGTCAACTGGGGGGTGGGACGGACAGTTGTCGACAATTAAAATTATGTGTTTCTTTTGTTGTAAAAGTTCACTGTCCCATTTTAGTAAGTCTTTTCAAAAATAGCTGACGTCATCCAGGCTTTTTTATTGAAATCATAATCAACAGGGAGATTTTTCACGTTTTTAAAACAGCGCGGCATTTTACTTTTTCCTATCATCAAAAGCTTCCTTTTTATGGAACCGGACATGTCGGCTGCAACAAGAACTGTAACACGCTCTTTTGAGAGTTTACCACCGGAACATTTCTCGCCTTTAAACTTTAACGTGTGATCAGGTGTCAGTCTAAAAAATAACCCCATCTCGTCAGCATTAAAAATTTCATCATCGCTATAGTCGGACCTGAGTGTAGGCCACACATTTTCAACCCAGTCATTTATAATTGATCTGTCAACAACTGCTAACTCATCTGAAATTTTTCCATGGACAATATTGTGGCGAGCTCGAAAACGTTGAACCCAGGAAGCATTACACTTAAAATTCTTCTTCAAAATCACAGCGAAAGCATCAGCCTTTACCTGAAGCATCGGCCCACTTACGGGTACATTGTTTGCGCGTTGTTGTTTAAACCAATCGAGCAAAGCACTTTCAATGTCACTGTAATTTGATGACCGAACGCGTTTTCCTTTTTCACACTTATTAAATTGCTTAATAATTTTCTCTCGCCTTTTCATTATTCCAGCAATTGTCGAGCGTGACGTTTTAAATTCCGGGCAATCGAACTCGCGGAATCACCGGAATCGACTCGGCAAATTATTCCAAACTGTTCCTCAATAGTAAATTGTTTCCGTGACATTTTTTCAATGAAGGCTAGACACAACTGAATTCAAATTCAGAAACTCTTAGCTTAGGCCAAATGGTGAAATATGTATAAACAAAATTTTGTAATACAATGGACCCGTCTTGGGAGGTCTAACTGTCTAAAGGACAGTAGATGCCTGTCCGGATGTAATATAACCATAAATTAATAAATCCTTACTTCTCATTGCGTGGCATTAAATATTGGTAATACCTGTGAGAAATACAACACTACAATGTCCATTTTCATAACTTTACAGGATAGCACTTTTAAACTTATTTATTAAGATGTACGCTGTCACCAATATTTTAACTACTAGTGTACCAAGAAATACGTTTGCTCTAACCGATTTGTTCATTATAAGCAATATAAATGCGTTTTTTGTATGTCATTTTATGGGACCTACTATTTTGTTTGTTATATCCGATTGTACGTTATAGCCGGTGTCGTTGTAAACGATTTTGACTGTATATATATATATATATATATATATTATATATATATATATATATATATATATGTTGGACATTACTTTATCAGTGTCGGTGTAATGACGTAATCGATGATTTTTTTAAATACAAAGCGAGGTCAAGCGACAGCTCATTTGAACGGTCTCCTTATTGCTTTTGCAACGATATAATCATTTAAATATTTATTTCTAAAGAGTTAACCAAAACTGTAGGTTTATTAATACAATTAACTTAAAATAAATGTTTATTTAAATACAATTAAATTAGAACAAATCTTCAAATTGACGACCTTCAGCAATAATACAATATAAAAGATGGGCAATAAATTCTTTCCTAACATTTTCGATGACTTCAGGTGTTATTTGTGCAATTTCTGTTCTGACGCGCTTCTTAAACTCTTTTACATTCAGCCGATTTTAATACATTCTGCTCTTTAAATATCTCTACAAAAAAAACTCTAACAAAGTCAAATCAGAAGACCTTACTGGTCATTCGATAAGCCCCCTTCTACCGATCCACCTACCTGGGAAAACGTTATTAAGGTAATTCCCTACCTGAACGCCGTAGTGTGGGAGAGCCCATCATGTTGGTACCACAAATCATTTCTATTTGAAAATAGCTGATTCAGCTGTGGCAACAGATAATCCTAAAAAAATTCTAGATAACGAGAAGCAGTTAAGTTTTTCTCAAAAAATTTGGCCCTACAATTTAATTGTTTATAATGCTAGCCCAAACATTCACCTTCTCGGGATATTGTGTCCTATACTCTATAATCCAATGTGGATTTTCACTTGCCCAGTTTCGATATGTCTGACGATATACGTGACCATTCAGCATAAAAGACGTTTCATCAGAAAAAAGTACCCTTTGTATGAAACCCTGATCTCTGTTATATTTTTCGATAACAGTGTCGCAGAATTCGATTCTTCTATCAAAGTCATCTTCGAATAGCTTCTGAAACAGATGTACTTTGTATGGATGCCACTTCTCCTTTTTTAGCACTCTTACAACCGTTGATTGGTGGACATTATTATCTAGTGCGATCTGCCTAGAATTGGTATGGGATTTTATTGAAACGCCAGTACAACGTCCAGTTTCTTGTATTCGAATATTGATTTCCTACCACTTTGGGAAGATTTTTAACATGGCCCGTTTCTCTAATTTTATTTTCAATATTAGTTACTGTTGATTAAGTAATTGGTTTGCGATTGGGGTATTTAGCATTAAATAAATTATGAACTTCTGCTTGAGTCCTCACTCTAACGCCATAACCAATCATGATTAAAATTTCTATCCGTTCTGTTTCAGTTAGTTTCATTTTTGTAAATGCTGTTATTAATGTCGACAAATACTTAAAGAGTAAAAATTTGACGTTTGTTATTTGACAGATTCACAGATCATTGACAAATAAAGACGAGTCAAGGACAATATTAATTTAAATATTTTTGAAAAAAAGCTTGGAATACTTACTACAATAATCAATTTTAGATTTTAATGTAGCATTGTTTGTTATCTATGTATTTTTTTTTTCGGAACGAGCAAAAAACACTCTTTTGTTGTATTCCCAGTGGCGTTCCTTAGTGTATTTTAGTTCAGTGAATGAATATTTATTGTAATTTCATGTTGCTTAACAAAGTTTATAATTTTGGTGTATACAAACACTGTAGAAATAAATATTCAAGTGGTTACATAGATGCAAATACGACAGGAAGACCTTTCAAATGACCTTAATTTGTATTTAAAAAAAATCTTCGATTACGTCATTACACATCAACACATACAGAGTGGCCCAAAAGTCTGGAAACGGCTAATTATCTCGTAAATTACTAGACATAATTATACAAAATTTGAGATACGCCTATTTTGGGATACGGAGATTCCATATTTGGAATTTGCAATGTTGCCAGATTTTCAGTTTTTCTTATATTACTAGTAACTTTGGTTTTTCAAATGCATCACCTTGTATGTTCAGTCATTATTGGAATCATCTATTAAATAGGAGTTCAACCATATGTCTGTCTGTCAACCATATACGCCTGTCTTCTAAAGCTCTGGAGAGATTAGGAAATGCCGAAAGGTCTTAATCTCGATGAAGGAAAAATCCGAATCTGCACCTCCACGCGGTAGAGGACGGGCAACATAAATTTTAATGGCTAACGCAGATAGGGACCGAGTGATTGCCGGTATAAGCAGTCCCCCACTTACTGACCAATGGCGGACGAGTTGGTAGGTGGCAGGGCACTCTTTTGTCCTGGGGCTGAGAAACCGGCCCCAAAGGCGGAAGAATCAATGGTTTGGTCAACGGCATAAGAATATAGAAGGCAACGAGAAACCACTATATTAAAGATCCCTATGGATATCTCTAGTACAATTATAATGGCTGTACAACTCAATAAAAATTCGCATACTGATCATGGACATCGGAGACCAAGATCCGGCAAGAGAGGTCATTCCCA